GACGTCGTTGCACCGAGCACGTCCTTCATGTGCGAGAGCGCGGGCAGCGGCAACAGCTTCTGCCGCGGGTGCAAGCTCATGGGCGACTTGTACCAGTCGGGCCCGATGGATGCGACTTCGGCCGGCGTCAAGACCGACTCGCCGTGGTGGCGCACCGGGGCGCGCACAAGCGTCAAGTCAAAATCAAACACGTGCACGGACGTGACAGCAGGGGACTTGAGCGCATACGTCGTTGACGACTTGGCGATCCGTTTTGGCGCCACGTTGTCTACGGGTGGGGCTAGCCGCGGGTAAAACCCGTCGGGTGCGATGTGGCGGCTGTCGTCTAGTCCGCAGAGGTGCATGCTCGTGATGGAATGCGACCCAAAGTCGTGCGAAGCGTACGCAGCATACGAACGGGCGTTGATCTTGGTGCCTAGACGGCAATGGTCCTTCGCCAGCTTGAAGAGTTGTAGGTGTGGCTGGTACACGTCGTAGCTGCCAACGACCGAGAGGCCAGCAGCCGCGAACCGCGCCTTCAGCGTCGCCACGAGGGTCATGAGACCGTCGTGCGGCGCCATTTTGGCGTAGACGACGCGGTTGCCAAAAGCACTGACGCCGTGAATGCGAATGCTGGATGCGCAGAGAGAGTGCAGTAAACCCTGGCACTCGGCTAAAACGCGCTTGGCGATCGGCAACCTCCGTTCACCAAACCAGGACTTGCGTCGCTGCACAACGTTGAGGGAGTGGAGGCGCAGTCGTACAAGCGTACAGTGGAAGCGCGCCGGTGCGAGTGCCGCCGCTGCCGACGGTGCTAGTCGCGGGTCGCCGCGAACGATCGCGGCTTGGGCGTGCTTGCAGGTGTCGACAACGGCGGTGTCCGTGATGCGAAAGCACAAAAAGGTGTTTGGGCGATCCGTGTTGGCGTGGAACGTGACATTGGCTGGTCTCTCGGCGGCGACGGCAGACAACGGTGCAGGGGCGGCCGTTGACGGCGAGAACGCAATCACGTCGTGGCCAGACGAGCCAAAGACGCGGTCGAGGCGCACGCGCTTGTCCCAAATGATCTCGTCGCGCCATTTAAAGTACTGGATCCGGTGCTGCGGGATCGCCGTCTCGGTCTGCGACAAGGTCGCAATGTCGGCCCAATTGAACGCTGCAAAGTTGCGCTCGACCGTGCCAACAAAGCGATCGAGGTACCCGACAATGACCTCGGTTTGCGTGATGCTATCGTCCCAAAGAATGCGGTGAATGACGTCCGTCGCTGTGCGCATCGACTTCTTTTCTGCTGCAGGCGACGTCGCTACGGGCGCCTTTTTCTTCGGCTTGATGGGCTTGGTGTTGTCGTTGAGCGAGGAGCGAGGCGAGAGATCTGGTTTCTTGGCGCCGCTGGCGTGGCGGCGCTTGACGCTCTCGTGCTGGATCGATGAGCAGCTCATTGTCTAGTTGCTGATGTCGCAGGTGCGGTGTAAATAGGATTCTGGGTACTTGGCATCGACGTCCGCCGGTTGTGTCGCTGGTTTATTGCCGCATGTAAGTGAGAGTGATGGTAAAACCCCGCCAGAGGAGCACGTGCCGAGTCTTGATTGGCCAGATCGCAAGTAACCATCACTCACAAACAAATATGACAGTGCTGATTGTACAATAGACCAACGCTTCAGAGCAAACGCACAATAACGATTGCTTGACATCTATGGCAGCCCACGTCCACCGGACGGAAGATCCAATCATTGGTTGCAGGCTTGCGTCATCGACACATGCTACAATCTGCAACAATCCAGCGACAAACTCTCCATGGTTGACGAGGTTGTGAAAGCCTTCACCGCGCTGTGACAGCCATCAACTACTGTAATAAATCGTGGGAGCATCCTCTCCTCCAAAACCATATTTAGATCGTTCAGTATACGTTAGTCTATCACTTGATTTCGGCTTAAAAGTGTAGTCAGTTCTTCACCACGCCCTTCTTGGCCCAGTGATAGCCAATCTCTCGGATAAAGTCGTCGCGCACGAGCTCGGCGCGGTCCACCAAGATGCCGTCCGCTTCGCGTCGGGTCGCAACCCCTTCGACGGGGCCGTCGTAAAAGGCCGAGGGCGTCTCGAGCAGGCGCCGATAGCCGCTGGCTTCAAGTCATGGAGCCCATTGCACTTTGAGATGAATTTGCACCAAGTTGCTAGGTGGAAGAGTTACTACGGCTATCGGGCTCGCTTGGCGTTCTAGTCTTTGCCACGTGATACCAAAGGACAGGACGAGGTCGCTACTATTGGCTCGGGCAGTCTGCTCGAGCGTTCCCCTCGGTGCCAAAAGCGCCCTACGCGCCACAAACGTGTTGAGGGCAGACGTCGGCTTGAATGCGTGGCTCACGAGCCGTCCGTGTACATATCAGCAGCAGCGCATGCGCCGTTCGGCGTCGATTCTATGCACATTGGTGGCACACAACGAGATATAAATACCTCCATGCCGAAATTGTCGAGCCAATCGGCGTGCATGACCCGCGACGTACCGAGGAAACAAAAATGCACGTTTATGCACACGCACTATGTTGCAGCGATGGACGATTTGATGCACGGTAACTTCAAGCATGTCGGACGCATGTGTCCATCAGAAGTGCAGCCCACCAGGTAAAAATTGTGCGGCAACACAAGGCCCAGCACAAGCACCCGATATGTGCCCGTACGTGGTACTTCCAGGCGCAGTTAGAAGAGCTGAATGAATGCCAAGTGCACTCAAAAGTAAAAATAATGTTCTATGCGATCGACTCGGCTTGTGCCGTGTCCACAGTTTTGTGCCAATAGATGCCAAAGCGAGCACCAACGTCACCGCCGTCGCTGGTTTGCAGGTCGCGCGTTCGGTTGCGGTAGCGCAGCGCCTTCTGTAGCAACTGGGCGTTTGTCGTATCCGCGTCGAGTTGGTTGAGCTGCGAGAGCATACTCTTGAGGACCTTTTCGGTGCGGGCCTTGACGCATTCGTCCGAGTATTTGAGGTGGAGGTGGCGACGACTGCTGGTTGCGAGTGAGCGAGATGCCATGGTTGGATATGAGTGGTTCAAAAGCGAATTGAAAAATGAAACTCTGGGAGCGGAAGCGGCGCGGCGATTTGTTCGGCAGGGCAGCGGGAATCCCAACCGGAAAGACCGTGCTGTAGTTATCCGTTTCCACGGTAACGTAGTAAGCCTCAACATGGTGGCGGGACGACGCGATTGGAATCGAGCCAATCACATGCGCGTCTTTTCTCCGCATCACCCAATCAGGAGCGACCACTGCGATGTTTTGCCTCCACGTTGGCTCAGCACGATATGGCGGCACCCGCGTTTACACGGCCAGGCACAGAGCGAACGCGGACTTCAACGCAATAAAAGCCAATGAAATCACGCATCTCGATGGTAACGCGATTGAGAGCCAATGAAATCACGCATCTCGCTGGTAACCCGCGCAACGATACAAAAAGCCACTCGCGTTTGTGTTCAGGCACACGCCGTACTCGGTCTCTGGTGTGTGCGCTGCTCCTCCCGTACAATGCATCTAGAATGTCGATGGGCTATTACATGTAGCAGCTCGCCAAGTCTAGTGCACCACCTCCGACAACGCTCTTAGGTTACCTCTACTCGACGCCCAAGACGGCGTTCAATATGCACCAAGCCGCGTTCCGTATACTCTCTGGCCCGTGCTCCGCGTCTGCGTCTGGCTCAACGTCCGCCGAGTTCAGGAACGATCGCGTCTTTC